GGGAGACTGGGAGAAACAGGCCGCAAAGCACTTCCTCAGGCGTACACCCCCCGACACCCCTTGACCTGGGTCTGACCCCAGCTGGATCCGGGTCCCCAAAGCTGACCTCACAGCTGGGGGTGGCAGGAAAGAGCAGGGGTGACCAGAGACAGGACCATTAGGAGCTGTAAGGCTAATGAGATTTATTAACCCAGTGCTTCTGGTGTCTGGTGACTCTAGGACCAGCCTCTTCTCCTTGCCCCCACTTCAGGCTTCTGGCTCCTCCCAGGGGCTGTCGCCCCTCCCCCACCCGTCTCCGGGCTTGGCTCCCCTCCAGCCCACCAGCCCCCAGAGCTTTCTCAACAGTCTCCCCAAGACCTGCAACATTTACATTAGGTTCAGACCACGCAGATTATTTCAGTGTGGAAGGGCCCTGAATCCCAATCGTCTACCCGAGTGGCTCTCAGCCTTCCTAATGCTGCGACCCTTCGACACAGCTCCCGCGTTGTGGTGACCCCCAACCACAAAATTATTTTCTGTTTCTACTTCACAGCTGTAGTTTTGCTACTGGTATGAATCATAATGTAAATATCTGTGTTTTCCAATGGGAGACCCACAGGTTAAGAACCACTGGTCTAGGCTTCCTACCTCCCAGGGCTAGAAGACTCTGGAATGCAAGAGCCTGGTGGAGTCTACAGCTCTAATCTCAGCATTTGTGAGGTTCAGGGGGCAGAAGGATTGCTCTGGTTTCAAGGCCAACTTGGGCTACAGAGTGAGAAACTGCTGGAAAAAAAAGAGAAAGAAAAGAAAAGCTGAGCAGTGGTGGCGCACACCTTTAATCTCAACACTTGGAAGGCAGAGGCAGGTGGATCTCTGAGTTCGAGGCCAGCCTTGTCTACAGAGTGAGTTCCAGGACAGCCAGGGCTACACAGAGAACCCCCCCCCCCGCCGCCCCCCGTCTTGGAAAACCAAAAGAGAAGCTGAGGAGCCAAGAGGATTGCTGGGGGCTTTGAGACAAGCCAGGACTACGAAGCTAGATCCTACCTTAGGGTAATAAAAATCTTGCCCCCATCTGTAATCCCAGCATTCGAGGGCCAGAAGCAAAAGGAGTTCTCTGTCAGCTTGGACTATAGAGCGAGCTCCAGACCAGCCAGGGCTACATTGTAAAGTAAGACCTTGTGGAAAGAAGGACCTGGGGAAGGGAAGGAGGGAGGGAGGGAGGGAGAGGGAGGGAGGGAGGGGGGGAGAGAGGGAGGGAGGGAGAGAGGGAAGAGGACTAGCGAGATGGTTCTGCAGGGGAAGGCGCCTGCCACCAAGCCTAATTAAGTCAAAAGAAAGAAACTGAAATAACTTTGGGGCTCAGTGGTCGTGGGAGCCCAGATCCCTTCAGGTTCTAAGCTGTGAAGGGAGGGCTGGGTTTATGGCACTCTGGAAGCCTTGCAGTCTGGTCTCTGCCAGGTCTCCTTCCCCACCCCCAGCTCATCCTTGGCTCTCGCTCTGTCCCCCTTTTCCCTTGCGGCTCCCACAGACATGATGCAAGCAGGCTGGAGCGGGCTGAGAGGTGGGAGCAGGAGCGAGATGTAATTACAGCTGCCTCAGCCTCCACTCTACAGGAAGCTCAGACTTGGGGCCCAGGGGACCCTCATCCGATGCAAATGTAGAGCACTTGCCAGGCTGGCACAAGACCTCCTGGGGAGGAAAGCCAGTGAGCCACTTCAGGAGACTGAGAGTCCAGTCTCCATCAGCAAATAAAAGATAGACTGTGAAGAGGGATGGGGTCTAGGGGAGTCTGAGGAGGGAATTGGTGGTTTTGAATTAAATCAGTAAAGTCTGTTTTTTCCCTGGTTGTGTGTGTGTGTGCGTGCACACACACACCTATACACATGTATGCAAGGTTGTGTATGCTCTTGTGTGCATGGGTGCATGTTTGCTCATGTGTGTGCAGGTATGCATTCAAGCATGCAAAGGTGTGCAAGCATGTCCTTGTGTGCACAGCAAATGTTCGCGTGCAGGTGCACATATACACATGTACGTGTGCATATGGAAGCCAGAAGACAACCTCAGATATTGTTCTTCAAGAACCGTTTCTTTTTTTGTTTGTTTGTTTGTTTTGTTTTGTTTTGAGACAGGGTCCTGGCTGTCCTGGAACTGGCTCTCTAGACCAGGCTGACCTCGAACTCACAGAGATCCGCCTGCCTCTGCCTCCGGAGTGCTGGGATTAAAGGCGTGCGCCACCACTGCCCACTCTCCAATTTTCTTTGAAACAGGGTCTCTCCCTGAGACCTAGGGCTTGCCAGTTTAGCTAGACTGCCTGGCCAGTGAGTCTTGGCAACATGTCCGTGCCTGCCTGGGACTACAACCGTGTTCTACCATTCCCAGCCCCCCCCCCTTTTTTTTCTTTAAGATTTTATTTATTTATTATGTATACAGTGTTCTGCCTGCATGTCTGTCTGCAGGCCAGAAGAGGGCGCCAGATCTCATTACAGGTGGTTGTGAGCCACCCTGTGGTTGCTGGGAATTGAACTCAGGACCTCTGGAAGAGTAGCCAGTGCTCCTAACCACTGAGCCATCTCTCCAGCCTCCCCCCGGCCCCGCCCCTTTTTACATGAGTGCTAGCGATTGAATTCAAGCCCTTAGGTGCATGTGACAAACACCTCACTACCTGAGCCATCACCCCAGCCCCCTCACTAGTTTCAGTGGAGACATTTCCTTTTTGATTCCGCTATCAGTCCTTCAGCAGCCCCCAGGGGGAATGGCAACTCAGATTCCTTAGCCTACAGTTCTATAGCTATTCCTCTCGCCAAAGCCGTTCTCCTCCGCAGAGACCTCTAAGACACAGTCACTAAAGCCACAAGGTCGTTGTACAAGCTGGAAACAGCTGCTGGGGGAGGAAGACCCCTCAGTGAAGCTGCCTTCACCCTGGGATGGAAGCAACAGGGACACAGCTTCCCTGAGTCACCAGCCATGGTGGGTTTATTAGTGACGCGGCCGCCTTTGAGTCACTAATGTTCCTGTAAGTGACCTCGATAAACTAATTGGTTCCCCAGGCTGGATTCACGTGCTATCATTTTTTTCTGTCTGTCATTGATCAAGCATACTTGTTCATGTGCGCCTCCCAAGGAAGAGTCGTGCGTGAGGGACACATTGGGGTATGCTGGGGACTTTGTCCAGCCTGAAAGCCCAGAAGCCTCATAAAATCCTGGGGAAGCCCAGGCATGCTGACACACACCAGTAATCCTAACGTTCTGAGGGTCAAGGCAAGAGGATGGTGAGCCTGAAGCCAGTCTGGGCTGCACAGCAAAACCCCATGTTAAAAAAAAAAGCCTGGCAGTGGTGGTGCACGCCTATAATCCCAGCACTTGGGAGGCAGAGAGAAGCAATGAATCTCTGAGTTCGAGGCCAGCCTGGTCTGCAGTGGGAGTCCCAGGACAGCCAGGGCTACACAGAGAAACCCTGTCTTGACAACTAAACGAAACAACAAAATTACCCTCAGAGAAGCCGGAAATAAGGACTTCAATGAGGAATCATGTCTGTGTCACAACCAAATCAAGAACATATTTAAACATCATCCAGGCCAAAAATAGCCTCCAAACCACAAGTGCAGGCCACATACGCACTGCTCCAGAGGGTGCATGGGGAAACAGAGCAGGGGTCCTCTGTTCTCACAGTTAAGAAGAACATGGCTGAGTTGGGGCCCACAGAACCCCAAATTAAGATAACAGCAGGAGGGATGTAGGGTGGTGGGGGCGGGGGGTGGGGGGTGGGCGGCTCGTCAATGATTATCTTCATTTGTTCCTTCTGTCCTAATCACATGACTTTCTTATCCAGGTCCCCAAATTCTATCAACCCTGCACCCCAGCCCAGATGTTCCCTTCCACAAAGAGCCCCTCTATGAACACCCCCCACCCCCGCAAGCTGAGCCAGGAACTCTCTCTGAACTCTCTCATCTCACCTCAGCCAATGGAAGTCAACATCTAGATTCCCCAGAACCAGGGCTCTCTCTACCACAGTCACATTCCCCCAGCATTGCCTAAGGCAGGACTGTTTACAGAGCAGGTACCCAGGGACAATTTGGAAGCGTGGATGGATGGATGGATGGATGGGTGAGTGGATGGATTAAGAACAAGGTCGATGCCTGAAGACAGGAGTAAGTTAGAGAAAAGGGGCCCTGCAATCCCAGCTACTCAGTGAAAGCCCGTCTCAATAAGAAGAGGGGAGCCAGATGTGCTGGCGCTGGCCTGTAATCCCAGCCCTCCCGAGGCAGGGGCAGGCGGATCTCTGTAAATTCGAGGTCTGCCTGGATGACAAAGCAAGTTCCGGGCCAGCCAGGGCTATGAAATGAGATCCTGTAAAAAAAAAAGGGGGGGGGGGCGGGCGGGGATGTTTCTGGAGAGTTTGCTCAGTGCGTAAGAGCAAATACTGCTCTTCCAGAGGATCAGAGTTCAGTTCCCAGCACCCACATAGAACAGCTCACAATCCCTCTAAATACAGCCGCAGGGCATCTGACGCCCTCTCCTCTGGCCTCCCTGGACACCTGCACTCATGCGCACATACTCACACACAGACATACACATAAACATAATTAAAATGAAATAAATCTTTTTTTTTTTCAAGTAAGCCAGCGGTAGGCGCAACAAGATGTGAAACCTGGGCGGATTGCCCCATAAGTCCCGCCAGGAGGGGATGCAGGAGATGAGGCAGAGAAGCTACCGAGAACTTGAAGGTCAAGCCTCAGTCTTGACCTCTCAGCTGTGCGACTGAGAAAGGGACCTCCCTTGACTCAGTTCCTTCAGCTGTGAGATGGTTTATCTTGCAGATAGCCAGCTATTTTCAAGCTGATGGGGGAATTGAAAAAAGGGCTGAGGATTCATTTCTTGTGGGGCTATAGTGCTTTGCCACCCACCCATCTCACACTCCACACACGCTCAGAAAGGAAGAGAAGGGACGGACGCAGCAGCCTCCACCAAAGGTGGCCCCCAGGCTCCGCCCGTGCCTCGGTTACCCCTAAAGTGCAGCCGCCACCAAGTCACCAAGTTTATTGGATTCATGCTTCAGCGAGGGAGGATAAAGCTGTCTTGAGGGCTCAGAGCAGGGTGCAAAAGAGTCGCTTGTCGCGGAAGGGGTTCTCGGCGGCGGGGACAGGAGTCACCAGTGGGTCATCCTTAGCGTGCGTCTCACAGAAAGCCAGGAGCTCAGCGGCCGCCTGCGACACCTGCAGGCGAGGTGCAGAGATGCAGTTGACCCGCCCTAGGGCCTTTGGTCCCTCGGCAAGCGACCAAATCCCTGCCCCTTGTCCTGACCACGCCTTGATTGGCCACGCCCCCGGTCGGGGCCCACCCTCCCACTCGGCTCTGCTCCAGGCTCCGCCCTCAACACAGCCTGGCGCAGACCGCCCCCCCCCTCCCTCCCCCCGCCGCCCCAAGAAAAAATTTCCCCCACGGCTCCGCTCACCTTCATGCGATCGATGTTCACTTCCAGCTTCAGCTGCTCCACCGTCTTGCGGGCCTCAGCGATCTTGGCCATGTTGTTGGACATGGCTGCAGCAGGAAAGGGGTTAAATACCTCGCAGGAGTAGGGACTGGGGGCTGGAACACGTCTGGATCCCCCCCGGGGAGTAATGAAAAGCAGTGGTGCGACCCGGAAACAGGGGAAGAGGTTGGGACTACGAGCGAATGGGGTCCCAGAGACAGACAGAGGAGGGCGAGAGGATGGAGAGGTGCCCGGATGGGGGTACCAAGAGGCCGCTGGAGGAAGAAGAGCGGAGGGGCCGGGGAAGGAAGGAGGGCCACACAGAGGGGAGGCTGAGGCAGGTGGAGGAGGCAGGGCCAGAGGACAGGGCCACAGGTGCTTGATCAGAATCTACTGATCCAGGTGCCCTCACCCCCTGGGGACAGAGCCTGAGCCAGGAAGGGGGGGCCCCTCCTCAGGCCAATTAGCAGCGACTCCAGGGAGAACTGAGAATTAAGATCTCGGCGGGAGGGGCGCAGAGGGGGCCTCATTAGGGCCTCGGCAGCAGCTGCCCCCTCTGCCACCCTCAGGGACCCATCCATCCCCGCCCCAGCCTTGGCTACCTCAAAGGCTCCTTTGCTCATTAGCAGGCAGGGGAGAGGGGTTGGGGCAAGCTAACCCAGCCAGCTCTGCAGAGGGGCATGGAGGGTAGAGAAGGGGACAAGAGGAAAAGGCGGGGCGAGGGTGAGGAGGGGGGAGAGTGACGGAGAGAGAAACGGGCATGGAGAAAGAAAATAGACTGAGGATGGGGATAGAGATATTGGGGGAAGAGATGATGAAGAAAGACGATGGGGGGGGGAGAGGGGATACGGGAGAAAATAGGGACAGAGCGGATGTGAACGGAGGAGACAGGGACGCAGGAGAGGAGGGACCCGGGCAGAGGGGGACATGCAGGGTTAGAAGGGACATGGATCGAGGAAAGAGGAGAGAGACGGCGAGGGATAAGAAGGACAGATGGGCAGGGAGGACGATGGCGACACACAGAAGTATAAAGTCATTTATTTCTCCATTCACCCATTCACTCATTCAATCCCAGACGGACAGATGGTAGTCACCAACCAACTAGTGGGACCCGGACAGGAGCCTCCTACCTGTTGCAGCTCAGGGCTGGGATGACTGGCGGGTGACAGAGGCTGAGAGAGGCAGCGGCTGGTCCCCTTCCCAGCCCCGCCCCCTCCCCTGGGGTGCAGCCCCTCAGGAGCGCCTCCTCCTCCTCCTCCTAGTCACCACCTGTCTCCGCGCCCTAGGTCTGTCTCTCTGGGTCCTCTCCGAGCTGTGTATCTTCTTTTCTCTCTCTCTCCCCCGTTTTTCAGTCACTCTTGTTTCCAGCGTGTCTTTCTCTCTGGCAGGAAAAGACGGACCCTCTAGGTGTGTATCTTTATGCACGCAAGCCTCTCCTGGGCGTCCCACGCAGCCTCTCCCTCCTTCACATGCAAACGAGTCCCCTCAGCATCACCCCATCACAGCGACCCTCTCAGCGGTACGCAGACTCAAGTCACTCACACAGAGATGCTCACTACCTCGCCAGGTCACTGAGTAGTGCCATGGTGCTCAACACAATGCACACCACCAAAGGTCTCGACACACCTAGCCCACCGCTGTCACTCGTGACTTCGCACTGCAGAGCACGCCACCGCCAGCAGCAGCTTGCACCGCTGCACAGGCAGGTACCCTATCTCAGAGTGTCGAAAGTGTACGCTGTCACCCACAAGTGCGGTTTCGGCTTCTCCTGAAGTTCTCATCCACGCTTTCTCAGCATCTCATACAATAACTCGCTCAGCCTCTCTGCCAAGCAAGCGCTCCGTTGCTTGGTGTCATCCAGGACCACATGGTTTTCTTTCCAGGGGTGGAAAGTGTGTGGCCACGTTTTCTCTTGGTCAATTTCTTCTTCTTCTTCTTCTCCTCCTCCTCCTCCTCCTCCTCCTTCTTCTTTTAAAGATTTATTTATTTATGTATACTTGTCTGTGTGTACACCTGCACATAAGATTCCATAGACAGTTGTGAGCCGCAATGTGGGCGTGAGGAATTGAACTCAGGACCTCTGGAAGAGCAGCTGGTGCTCTCAACCGGCTTGACACATATTGCATACAGTTCTCTCTCTCATACACACACAGAAGTCACATGTAATCCCTGTCACACCCACACACTGTCTTTTGATATTATACATTGTTGAATGCAATGGTGTGCTATTCACACACACACACACACACACACACACACACACACACGCACGCGCACGCACACGTGCACACTCACACACACTGTCATGTACATAGTCTTTGCTGGGCCTCGCGGTCTGTATCACAAATGCTTGTCATGCTCATTCACTGTCTCTCTCTTCCTCACTCAGCATTCGCCCAGTTTTGTTTTTGTTTTTTTGTTTGCTTGTTTGTTTGTTTTCGAGACAGGGTTTTTCTGTGTAGCTTTGCGCCTTTCCTGGAACTCACTTGGTAGCCCAGGCTGGCCTCGAACTCACAGGGATCCGCCTGGCTCTGCCTCCCGAGTGCTGGGATTAAGGGCGTGTGCCACCACCACCCGGCTGCATTCGCTCAGTTTTACCTGGGCATTCACACATTTGCACAGGCAATCACAAACACAGGCCAACCTCTCAGTGTCACATGTGATGACCCAGTTTCTCACGACCCACCGGGGTGGCGGACACGCGTTTCACATTCACACAGTTGGCCACACCAGGCCCCTCCCTCCCTCTCTGTGCCTCCCTTTTGCATCACTGGCTCATACCATCACTTGGATAGTTCAGGGTCCCCCTGACTCACTCCGCTCCTGTAACACATGCGGACTCCCTTACATATAGCTGACATCACGGACAGTCTCCAGGAAGTTTCTCTCTCAGACCCCATGCCGCACACAGTGCCCCACAGTCTCTCTGATAACCTCAGACTCCCATGGTCAGCCACACCTTACTCTGACAGTCCCACTCCATCGCTCCTTGTCATTCCTAATCTCACTGTGTCACACAGTCACACGTCATCTCCTGGCGTCCCACACCACCTCTGAGGCGTGCCCTCACACTGGCGTGGGTCGCACCACCTCTGGATGTCGCGTGGGACACCACAGCATCCCTTGCTTGGTCGCCCACCCTCGCCGCCCTCAAGGCCCCACTGCTGGCCACACGGGGGCGCCCTCGAGCCAAAGTCGCTGGAGGCGCGCGTGCAGAAGCACCCGAAGACCAGCATCCCCGCCGGCCTTGCAGAAGATAGAAACCGGAGATCTGGGGGACCCGAGAAGGATGAGAGGGGAGATGGGTTCCTGCGAAGGTGGAAGAGAAGTGAGGGACCAGAGGGAGAGGACAGAGAATTTCGGAGAGAGATGAGAGGGGCAGAGAGACACAGGGAACTAAGGACAGAGACAGACGGGAGGTACAGGGAGAGGTCACAGGAGGCAGACTTGGAGACAGACACTCAGAGTCCAAGCCAGGCCCTCCAAGAGACAAGGGAGGCAGCGGGCACCTTCCCCACCGGACCACACGGCGGGGCGGGGCTGTAGAGGGGCCGTGGTGTGGGTGTGGTCAAGGGCGGGGTTTTGCAGGGGTGTGCTGGACGGGGCGTGACCTGTAGGGGAGTGAGGGCGGGGTTTGACGCTCCTTCCCATTCTGGCGCGCAGGGATACTGGAACCCTGGGAAGAGGTGGAGTCCGGAGAGGCGTCGCTGTTGCAGACAGCTCAACCCCAGTTCGGTTTTCATCGCCTGCACGGGAAGCCAGACTGGTCGGGGAAAGATATCAACCTCTGATAGCTCCCGCCGCCCCCGGACTGGGGATTGAATCCAAAGTCCCACACGTGCTGTGCAATACATGCACGGCCCTCTTTACTTTCTTTTTTTTTTTTTTTTTTTTTTTTTTTGGTTTTTCGAGACAGGGTTTCTCTGTGTAGCTTTGCGCCTTTCCTGGAACTCACTTGGTAGCCTAGGCTGGCCTCGAACTCACAGAGATCCGCCTGCCTCTGCCTCCCAAGTGCTGGGATTAAAGGCGTGCGCCACCACCGCCCGGCCCTCTTTACTTTCTTATTTTGAGATAGTCTCCTTTAGTTGAGCTAGACTAATCTTGAACTCACTCTGTGGCCCAGGCTTTGAACTTGGCGACCCTCCTGCCTCGGCCATCCCTAGGGAGCTGGGATGACAGGCCTGAGCCACTCTGAAAGCTTTTTGGAGCTGGGAGTATGGGACCCTGGCTCCCTGCCTCCCTCCCTCGTGGGCGCACAGGGCCAGGTTGGAAGGAGAACACGGCTCACATCTGGAAAGCATCAGGCGCACCGGACGTGCCAGGGCCCCCGGGCCGGGGCTGCGGGAGGGGGAGGGGAGCCAAGGAGCTTCCCCCCGACCAGCCGAGCGGTGTCTGCCGGCGCCTAGGAGGGGCCTGGGCTTGCGCCGAGTCCGGCGCCTCCCGCAGCTGTTTTTCATCTCCAGATCTGGCCTAGGGTGCCCCTGAGGAGGAAGCCCAGCTTACTTAAAGCTGGAAAGACAGGGTGAGGACCCCGTCTCCCGACCAAAGGCTAGAGGAAGGAGGAGGGAGGACATTCGGACACGGAATGGATAACCTCCGGTTCCCTCCTAATCTACAGGCCTCAGCTGCCGCTCCATTATTTAAATATGCATATTTACATTTTACTTATTTATTGTGTGTATGGGAGGTGTGTGCCTGTGCCACAGCCTTGGTGTGGAAGCCAGAGGACACCTTGCAAGCCTCGGTTCTCTTCCCCCATCATGTGGACCCCAGGATGGAACTCAGGTCCTCGGGCTGGTGACAAAGGCCTTTAACCGGATGAGCCATCTCAAAGTCCTGAAGTATTTAAGCATCTTAAACAAGTCCAGAATCCAGTTTCCTCCCACAAACTCCCTCCGGCTTCACTATTTTCTTGGCTTCCGCATCTGGCCTTTTGCCTCTGACCTTGAAGAGAAGTCACAAGGTCTTTGTCTCAGGGGTACCCATAATCCCAGCACTGAGGAGGATGAGCCTGAAAGGCTGGAAATTCGGGGCTGGAGAGATGGTTCAGCGGTTAAGAGCACTGACTGCTCTTCCAGAGGACCCAGGTTCAATTCCCAGCACCCACATGGCAGCTCACAACTGTCTGTAACTCCAGTTCCAGGGGACCCTCACACAGACATGCAGGCAAAACACCAATGCACATAAAAATAAATAATTTTAAAAAAAAGACTGGGAATTCCAGGATAGCCTGGACTACATAGTGAGTTCCATCTTAGCTGGTGCTAGAGAGTGAGACTCTGGCTAAAAAGGGCAGTGGGAGAGGGGACTGGGGTGGGGTGGTGTCTCTCAGTTGGTAGAGTTGCTTCCTAGCATGCAGGAAACCACGGGGGCCACATACCTGTAATTCAGCATGGGGCCAGCCTTAGCTACACAGCACTTTCTTAAAATTTTTCTCAAAGATTTATTTTACGAGTGTTTTGCTTGAATGCGTGTATGTGCACCCTGCAGGTACCCATGAATAGTTGTGAGCCACCACGTGGGTGCTGGGAGCTGAACCCAGGTCTTCTGTAAGAACAGAAAGTGCTCTTATCCGCTGAGCCATCTCTCCTGCCCCCCAAAATCAATGTTTGTTAATTAAGTTTTTTTTGTTTTATTTTTGAGTATGAGTGTTTTGTTTGAATGTGTATCTGTGCACATGCATGTCTGGTGTCTGTGGAGGTCAGAAGATGGTGTTAGATCCCCTGGAACTGGAATTGTAGATAGTTGTGAGTCACCACGTGGGTGCCGAGAATCGAACCCGGGTCCTCTGCAAGAACAAGTGCTCTTAACCACTGAGCCAGCTCTCCAGCTCCCCTAGCAAGCTTAAGAGGACCAGAACAAGAAGAGATGTCAGGAGGCTGGTGAGGGGGCTAGCCTGGAACTCACTATGTAGACCAGGCTGGCCAGAAACTCAGAGATTCCCCTGTCTCTGCCTTCCATGCACTGGAATGGGCACCCTCACACTTGGCCTGAACTGTATACTTCCCATGGGTGGATTTTAGAGTGTACAGATTACATTTCAATGAGGCTTTTACCTCCTCCCATGAAACGAAACAAAACAAAAAAACTCACGGGGAAAATGAAAAACCAGTTTCTCTTCTGCCCGGGTTTCTCCCGTGTCTTCCATACTGAAAGCCATGTCTATGGCTTCAGGGCCTCACCCAATGCACGGCATGGCCGGCATCTCTTTCACGCCTCTTTCCCTTTGCTTTGATATCCTGGCCTTAGTGCAGTCTGACTAACCTGCCAGGTACAGCCTTGCCTCAGGGCCTGTGCACAGGCTCTTCCTGTCCAACCTATCCGGAGCCTGATGTCCCTTAGACAGCTGCTCAAATGTGACTGTCCCTCTTTTTGAGGAGATGGAATATGGAGACAGGATCTCCCTATGTAGCTCAGGCTGGCCAGCTCACCATGTGGTCCTTCCCGGTCTCAAATTCAAAACACTTCTTCTGCCTCTGTCTTCTGAATGCTGGGATAACGGGCACACGCCACCATGCCTATCTGCTGTTCCCTTCACATGCTCCTTATCAATTTCTAAGACACTCCCACCCCTGCCCCAAGATCTCTTCCTGTGACCAAGGAAGAGATGTGAATAGCAGACATGCCGAGGAAGGCGGAATCAAGAACATGGCCATTAGCCAGGCATGGAATGGGCACGGCTGTGATACCTCAGAAGGCTGAGGCAGGAGGATTGCCTGTTCAAGGCCAGCCTGTCTACAGAGTGAGTGAGACCCCGCTTCAAACACACACGCATACAGAGAGGTGGCGGAGATATGCTTAGTGGTACACACCTCCAATCCCAGATGCCACCACCTGGGAGAGAGAGACAGGAGAATCACGAGTCATCCTCAGCTACATAGAAAGTTCAGTGAGCACTTGGGAGGCAGAGACAGGTGGATCTCTGAGTTCGAGGCCAACCTGGTCTACAGAGAGAGTTCCAGGACAGCCAGAACTACACAGAGAAACTCTTGTCTCAAAAAATAAAACAACAGCAAAAAGTTCAGTGGGCTAACCATTTCTATTTGGACCATCACTAAGGACCTGTGAAACCCTGGCCAAGTCCCTCCCCCTTCTGACCTCAGCTGCCTCTTGAGTGGAACAAATAGTCCCCAGGGCCTTACAAGCAACCACTTTCGAAAATAACAGAATTCCCACTCCCCACGGCCGAGGATCAAACTCATGGCCCGTGTCTGCCAAGCAAGAGGTCCACATCTCCAGCTCCCAGCCCCTAAACTCCCAGCCAGCCATCTACTTACCTAGTTACCTATGAGTTTCATGTAGCCCAGGCTAGCTTCAAACTCACTAGGAAACCGAGGATGACCTTGAACTTCAGATCCTCTAGCCTCCACCTCCCAAGTGCTGGGATTACAGATGTACACAGCCATGCCTGGTTTCTGGGGGCTCAGTTGGAGCCTAGGGCTTCGTCCATGCTAGGCAAGTGCTCTCTACCCACTGAGCCCAACCCCAACCCACCATTTCCTATTACCTGTCTCCTCTGTCCTCACTAGACTGGGACAGGGACTCTGTTTTGTTCCCTGCTGTGTCCTCCAGAGCATGGCAGACCTGGGCTCTTTTCTCTCAGTGCAGTAAGGGACAAGGACCCACCTGGACAGATACAAACATCCCCTTCTCCCCACTGTGGAAGCAGATGGGGACTGGCTCTGAATCCTGATTGTCCTAAGGCCTGTGACAACTATGCCCTTTCCAGGTATCTATTTACCCATCCATAAAAATGGGCATAGTTGCTGGGCTCATCCAGTAGAAAAATGTGTAAAGGCTATGAAGAGGCAAAATAAAAAGAAACACAAGGACCAAATCCCATACAGAAGGCTGTGCCAAAGCAGAGAAATAGGGGCTGGAGAGATGGCTTAGTGGTTAAGAGCATTGGCTGCTCTTCCAAGGACCTGAGTTCAATTCCAAGGGATCTGACGACTTCCGGCCTTTGTGGGCACCAGGCATACATGCAGACAAAACACCCCATATACATAAGAATAAAAAGTAAAAACAGCAGAGTAGTGGTGGCTCACCACTATAGTCCCAGCACTCAGGAGGCAGAGGCAGGCAGATTTCTGAGTTCCAGGCCAGCCTGGTCTACGGAGGAAGTTCCAGGACAGCCAAGGCTACACGGAGAAACCTTGTCTCAAAACAACAAAAAGTAAAACTAAAAGCAGATTGGCAGGTGTGCTAATTAACCCAACATCCTCACTCCCATCCCCCTGAGATTTTAAAAAATGAACATGACTGCAAGATGTGGTGGGGGCATGCCTGTGGTCCCAAACTCCAGAAGCTGAGGCAGGAGGATCTCCAGCTTCAGGCCAATGTGGGATATATAACAAATTTATAGCCAGCTTGGGCTACCCAGGGACAACCCTGTCTCAATAAAACAGCAGTTGTTGTGTTTTTTTTTTTATTATTATTATTAAATGTTATTTTGAGACAGGGCTATGTTGCCCAGACTGGCCTGGAGCTCACTATGTAGCCCAGGCTGGCCTGCAGCTCAACTATGTAGCCCAGACTGGCCTAGAGCTCACTATGTAGCCTAGGCTGGCCTGCAGCTCAACTATGTAGCCCAGGCTGGCCAGGAGCTCACTATGTAGTCTAGGCTGGCCTGGAGCTCACAGAGATGTGCCCACCTCTATGTCCCCAGCATTTCCCACCATGCCTGGCTTTTACATGAGTGTTAATGATCCAAACTCAGGTCCTTATGCTTGCACAGCAGTGAACTCCCTGGCCCCTAATGTTGCTGACTTCTTAATTATTTTAGCGTGCGCGCACGACAGGTGCGCGCTTGTGCGTGTGCGTGTGCGTGAAGGATGCGCAAGCAATGCTGTGTGGAGGCCGGAGGACGACCTAGCATGTCCGTCTGTGGCTTCCACTTGCCACTGCATGCACCAGTGTGGCTGTTCTTTGAGCTGCCAGGGAGTCTCCTGTCTCCGTTAGCACGCTGGAGTCACTAAGTGGGGGCTTTCCAAGGGTCCTGAGGACCGGCATGCAGGGCCTCACACCCGCTCCGGAAGCACTTGATCCCCCGAGCCCCCGCCCCAGCCCTCTTCTTGATGACTTGCCATTTTTACGAAAACATAACGACGTCCAAATACAACTCAAAGGTCAGTCACCAAAGACACAGTCAGTGGTCACGAAGTGACGCTGCAATCCCACCTGGGACTCGCCACCTGGCTCTGCACCTTGCTGGTTCCACAGCAAGCTGAAGGTGCTCCACGGATGCCGGTCCGAAGAAAAAAGGCCACATCTCTCGTTTTAACAGGGAACAAGAATCCAGGGAATATGTAACACTGTGCATTTATTTACAAAGAGGTTAGAGAAACACACAGAATCTGGCCCCCCATGCACCGGGGAGTCACCATTGTCATAATAAATACAGTAATTTTTTTTTTAAATCAAAATAAAAAATAAAAAAACCCACTGGATTGGAACAGCTGAGGGTCACTGAGCTTCCCCCACTCCCGGTGGGGAGAGGCACGAGATTGAAACCATCTTCCTCTCTCTAACCTCCCAGTCCTCCATAATCGTCCAGGGATGGAGCAGAAAGAGCGAGTCCTTTCCAGGTGTTGGCAACTCCTACGTGACCCTCAAAGGCCCTAAGACGTGAGTGCCACTTCTTCCGGGGCACTCTGCAGGCATAACCTGAGTCAGAGTCTCTGACCCGGGGGCCCCAGGGGATATCCTAAGGGTCCAGGGACATGGAGGGGGCACTTTGTGAATGAGAAGGGAGCCCAATCTGGGCAAGGAAAAGAGGAATGAGAAAGCTCTATGAGAGAAATGGAGAGGGAGCAGACTAAGCTTTTAAACTAAAACAGGGGGAGAGGGGACCCGAACGGAATTACTGCTTTTGCATACATGGACATCCATTGTACAGATGGGGAGAGCGAGGCCCACAGAGGGACCCTTTCTGGTTCAAGGATTTGCAAAACAGCTGTACTGGGACAATCTGAGCGCCTCTCAATGGGGGGAGAGGGGCAGCCTCTCCAGGACGGCTATGGACAGCGGGCGGTGAGTGAGGAGGGTCTTTGGAAGCAGAGAAAACCGGTGGTCTTTGGAAGGTGGGTGTGGAGGGGGGTCGAGGATGAGAAGTGTGGGGGTGCAGAGGCCATGGACGTGGATCCCGAGCCCATCCCCCCCAACTCACACAGTCGTCATGACCTTCAGAGAACCGGACCTGAAACGCAGGATCTTTTTCTTCAGCGCGTGCGATGCCTTGATCTTCACGAAGACCTTGGCGGGGCCCGCGGGGGTCGCAACACCCGCCGCACCCCCGGGCCCCGATGGCGAGGCTCCGGCGGCCGCCACCAGCTGCTGAGGCCACACGAGGCCTCCGCTGCCGTCGGAGTCGCTGGAGGCAGAGCTGAAGGCGGGTGACTCGCCCTCGCTGGCGCTCGACTCGCTCTCGCCATAACCTCCGGGGCCGCACCCCGACGGCATCCGACGGCCTAGCGGCACTGGCCGCCCTACCGCCGAGCACTCGGAGTCGCTGCCCGCGCAGCCGTACAGTAGGCGGCGCGAGGGCGCGGACGGCGAGG